GAACGAGGAGGGTGGACGCGGCGCGGCTCGATGTTGACGCGGCCGACAGAGCACCGGAACCCGGTCCACGGTAGCCGGCACTGTTTATTCGTAATGAGAGACTCCGACGGGCACGGAGAACGTAGAGACGAGGGGGGGACCGAGTCGGAGACAACCGTACGCTCGATCACGAGGTATCGCGCGGGTTAAGTACCTGTGCCCATCACCGTGCCCGCGTGTTTGCTCGGAACACAGAAGCCTCCTCCCCCGATGAAACCGTCCCCCCCGCGTCCCACGTCTTCGCTGACCGGTTTCACCGCGGCGCAACGCGTGCACATACGGAGGACACGATGTCGTTTGCATATGGCTGGACAGGACTGGCCCGGGAATCTTGCGGGTCAACGCTACGGTGGTTTCGCTGGGTGACGCTGAGAGCGTTTCACGGGGATGGTTTTTGAGACCGGTGTATTCCTTCTTGTACTCACCCTTCGCAGTGGAAAGTTTTTAGTATTCTACATTCCCTGGTGAGACGTAGACGACATTCTTCGAGAGACTTTATGGTTCTGCTGTATCGAGTCGTCGCTTCTCCGGTGTAGAAGGATAATCATCGATCAATTTAGAATATTTGGACCGAGCTTCCAATTACATTGTTTAGAGTTTAGAATTCTCGTGTAGTGTGTATAGGTGTGTTAAGAGACAAATTTGTTGATTTATTCTCAGTGACATTCTGAGAACCTTAATATTATCATCATAATTTCAATGAACGACTCAATATTTTGTTTCACAGTGTACCCAAGTGGTCGGTACCAAAAGCTACCCCCAAAATCACAAAGATTAATCCTCGAATCGATTCTTTTGTTTCAGAGTGCGAGTTCGCCGAGACGGGTGGCGGTCCCGGTGCTGGTGAAGGACGGCAAGCCTTGCGGCAGCGGCGGCGGCGGCGGCAACGAGGGCAGCCGCGGCGGGCCCAGCGCGGCCCTGGCCAGCCCGGCCCCGCACCTGACGGCCGCCTCGAGCCCGCACGGTTCCCATCACGCGGCCTCCTCGGTCTCGCATCACTCGGTGGTAGGCGTGAGCCACGTGATGTCCTCTAGCCAGAGCCTGCAGCATTGCTCGTACACGAGGACCGGTGCACAGCAGAGCATGCAGCAGCAACAGCAGCCGCAATGCGGAGGGTACCTGCCGTTCCAGAGTCGGGCTTGGTAGTACATGCCATCCGCGGCGGTGGCGAACCCATCGGCCGCAGGTCCAGCTGCCTGGTACCCGATCGAGGACAGCCCGTAGAGACGGCGCGCGCGCCTGTCCCCGTGTGATGTCAATTTCCACGGAACCAACCGACCGTCGGGTTCGCGGGTGCAGCGGGCGGCAGCTATGTTCCCCGCGAGGACACCTCTAGGACGACTTTCTTCAGAAGACACGTTCGGCGAATATTTCTCAGACGGAGTGTTGGAATTGTAGTTACCAGGGGCATCAGGGCAGGGACATCTTTGGACAAAGGCGCAGTGTCCTGCGTCAAACAGACTGTCGATCAAGTGACGATTTTCAGGGACTATGTGGGACGCGACGACCACGGGACGGTTAACCAGTGAAGCGTTCGAGCCTTCTGCTGCTTCATATTCTCCTCAAATAAACGTGATTTCCCAGTCGCTAGCGATGCCTTCGGGTGGTTTGAACACGGAAGGAGAAGCAGAGGTGGTTCTCGAGTGCCGCGGAAGTGTCCGGAACATTGGGACGTTGAACGACGATGGTACCGAAGTACTTATACACATCGTTCCCGTTTGGTCGGTCCTGGAGGATGGAAACGATACAAGTTCCCCTACACCCAGGGACTTTTTGGGTTCGGGGAACGTGACGAACTTCGCGTGGGTAATGTTCGAGGCTGTTCGAAGATGTTTGGATCACGAGCTCGCGATCAACGCGCGATTCGTTCTCGTCGCGGTCGCCAGGCAGGAGCTCGTGCCGGCTTCTGATTCGTCCTGGCGCCGATCGATCGCGTGTACCTCGAACAAGGAGTCCGCGTGGGAGACACCTTCAACTGCTGGACCGTTGTCTGTTCGCCGTCGTCCGCCGGCGAACGAAAGGAAGACTGGAGATCGTGAACGAAGCGATCGGGAACCTTGATTCGAGTGACCTCGGGAGGATCAGAGAAATATGTAATTATCGAAGTTAGAAGATGGTTCTTGGAAAAATGATTGATCGACTTTATTTATTCTTGTTGTATGATTTTAGATGAACGGATGATTCTTTTAACTATTGCACCGTTGGTGTTCGGTAGCTTCAGCGAAGATAGAAACGGAACGTGAGATTTTTGCTTACGAATATTCAATCTTTAGAGTCGGTGAATCGTGTTTTCCTTTTCCCTTAGAAAATCTGAATCACTCTCTTGTTAAGGAGAAATCGTGATTTAAAGGGGTTAATCTCTGAAAAATCAAATTCTTTTATAATAATTTTCATCGAAGTCACGTGAACGTCTTGCGACGTTTCACAGGTAAAATTTTGGAGCAAAAAGCGGGACGCGGCGAATTAGGGTCTCCGATCGTTCGAGGACAACGCGGAGCGTGAAAATGAGGGTCGCGGACTGTTTCACGAACAATCCTGTCCGGGACCACTCGAAACGTGCGCCGATTCCAATTGCGAGAAACCGTACACCGGCGTTTGATCGCCGTCATCGGAGACGAGCGAGCCGCGACAGTGTTGCGCAGTGCCGCGTTCCATGCAGGCTTGGTCGCTACACAGTGAAAAGGAGTCGGGTTTCGCGTGAACGAGCGGCCGCGAACTCGTTGGAGGCTTACTTTGCCCGATCCGGGCGGGAAATAAACGGACAATTCATTTAAAAAGTCCTGAGCTCGATTCTCTCTCGAGGATTCTTTCTTTTGAGAAAAGATTTATTAATTAATTGGTTTCCTAGGAAATTTTAAAATGAAACAGGAGGATATTAAAATTAATGTGTAATTTGCGTAATACATCTGATAGGAGTTTAAGAGATAATAAGGAACAAACGTGACATTAACAATAGGCATTGATTTTAGAAATATCTGATGCACCCAAGAAACACACGAAAAGTAATCAGAATAGTTTTGTTTTATTATTTCATTAAAATCTGATTACGTAGAAGTCTTCTTCCGAAACGGCGACGTCTAGATGCAGATCATTTAATAAATGTTATTTTTTTCATTCTCGTCATCTATATATGAATTTCTTGGGTTTCCTAGTTCTTCTAAGAAAATTGAGACACTCTTAAGCCAGCCTCCAACTTGTTACCGGCATCGGCCACCGAGACTCAAAGGGAAGATATTCAATTTGTGGAAACGGCGAAGTGCGGCGTCGGCCATTTTGAATGCATACCCATTATAGATTATACGAATTCGAAGAAGAATTCTCCTCGCGTTTGATACCTGATAGACCGCAATATTTTGTAAGATCAACGGGAAACGATCGAAAACAGTTGTTACCGAGAGGATTCGGTGATTGTTCAGATGCATGAGAATCGGAGGAACAAACAGTCCACGTTACGCTATTTAGCAAATTACACATAACCATAATCTATCGACGAGTCGATAGACACCGAACAGTTCCGAGAGTAGACGCGAGATATTCGATCTAATCAATTTCTTAAATATTCAGCGAGGCGAATGTTCATATCGGATCCGGTTCTCGGCCGACGATAGCGATGAACGTCCAGGTTTCCTTATTGCGCGACAGGCCAGACGGCGCATTAATTATTCCGTTGCATAAATCGATATAGGCAGCCAGTGTCTACGTTACTCTTCGAGTCTACTTCTCCGATTCTTCATGCACATCGGCAATTGACTGAAAACCTTGTCGAAAACCCACGGAAAATGTTCTCAACGATCACGCAGCCTATAATGTTCATTTTCTACGATACTGGAAATATCTATTGCTATCCCTTCAATTTACTTAGCGACTCATTTATCATGCAGGTTATTCAATCAAGTTGTACAAATTATCTGTTTCAACTGTCCCCCCAACTTGTTAATTTAATACCAAATCAGATACACGGGAAACGTAAATTTAAGGACATAAATTAAGTCGAACATTAGTTTCCTCAAACGATCTTGCACCTGGGAACATTCAAATTCGAGGGAAGCAATAAATATTTCCAATGTCACACACCAAAACTTATTTCACCGAGACACAACGATCTCCGCAAGAGATCCAACGCATCATTACGTTCGATCCATTTCACCACGAGCCGAAACACGTGGCGAAATCTTCGGCAACGTTAAGCAAAACTGCCACGATTATCGGCAACCTAGGTTCAACCCTTCCGCTGCGCAACTGGGCTCGACTTGAACTCGTAATCCGTTGGAATACGTTCACTAACTCGAGCCCCGTATGTTTTATCCCTCCGAAACCCCACATCTTCCTCCGAGAATGCACTAGAAAAATAATTCGAGCAGCATAAGGGTTGAGCAGAAATTCCAACGACAAGAGAGCGAAACACGACCAAAAACCCGCGACCAATTTCAATACTCGAGGCTCCACGGGGAGAGGGGACGTGCCAAAAAAAGAAAGAAGAATCCGCGAGGAACAACGGAGCCGAACCAGATTCTATCTGGGCCACGGGATCCGCGTTCGAAAGGAGAAAGAGAAAAGGGAAAGAAACGAATCGTCG